CACTGAAATATCGTATTAACCCTACGGTCAATAACCGGGTACATTTGTACCTTTTTTTGAATAAAAATGCTGTAAAATTTTTAATAATGGAGATATTTGGATCAAATTTTGAGGAATCATTCTTGAGGTATTTTCACACATAATCGAAGAAAAAATTATAAATATTTTCCATATATATAATTTTTACAATTTTTTAAAGTTATTACCTACCTAGATCAATAACCGTGGTACATTTGTACCCATCCAAAGATAGCTCTGTAACTCATTAAAAAATTGGACTATCGTGAGGTTTTTTGGTTTAAATTAGTCTATGCGGATCTGGTCTAGATGTAGGAACTCAAAATTATATATACATTAAAATAATATATATTTAAATCCATGCTTAAATGATAATCTACCTAAAACAATCATAGTAAATTCGTTAAAGCTTTCGAATGGGTTAAGCTTTTTTAGTTATTTTTTTATTGGAATCTTATTTAGGTGTTCCTCAACCCCTCTGCCAATTTTTGTGGCCCTAGACAACATGGGACCATCAGGCCGACTCGTGGAAGTCAGAAACTACCCTGGTTTTCCCTTGGTATGCAGGGACAAAAACAATGATTATTGTCCGTAATTATCCAATTATTCTTCATATTGGGACTGAAACTTTTTATATAACCGAATTAGTCTGATTTATTACAATCCTAAATTGGCGTACGTATATAAACTATCATTAAATAACGTTTTAAAATATTAAATAATATTAAAAATGTGCCAATCACAATCTCTAAACTCATAAAATATGCATAATTGGCAATAATAATTGTTTTAGTCCCTGTATACCAAATGAAAACCAGGGTAGTTTCTGACTTCCACGAGTCGCCCTGATGGCCCCATGTTGTCTAGGGCCACAAAAAATTGCAGAGAGGTTGAGGAACACCTAAATAAGATTCCAATAAAAAAATAACTAAAAAAGCTTAACCCATTCGAAAGCTATAACGAATTTACTATGATTGTTTTAGATAGATTATCATTTAAGCATGGATTTAAATATATATTATTTTAATGTATATATAATTTTGAGTTCCTACATCTAGACAAGATCCACATAGACTAATTTAAAACAAAAAACCTCACGATAGTCAAATTTTTTAATGAGTTACAGAGCTATCATTGGATGGGTACAAATGTACCACGGTTATTGATCTACGTATACTTTTTTGGTTATTGAACGTAGGGTTAAGAAATAACGATATTTCGGTAATGCTTTATTTGACATTTCCATGTTGTCGGATGAATTCAATAGAGTACGTTCAAGTCTTGGAAGACAAATTGACTCATCGTGTCTATGCAGAAAACCTCCAATACCAAACTGTATTTTACCTCCAAGAAGTGATTTTCGATGAATGGCGGTCAATCGATGAAGACTTGCGAATAATTTTGATCAACAGTGTAATGGATAAAATTTTTGAACTTATTCAAAGTATTTAAAAAACTTATTTTATTTTATTTAAGTTTTAAAAAATAAATTTTTCTAATTTTGTAAAAGTGCGTCTATAGTTATGCAACACCAGCAATTTTGAAAGTGCAGAATTCGGCGAAACCATAAAGAATAAATTAATTATTTTTGTTGAATAATATGTGTTTTTGATCGTTTTATTGTGAACAATAACTTAATGGGTCCATTTTATTTGTCAACTAACATACCAATTGAATTAAGGGTGCGTCTATAGTTATGATACGCAGTGTATAAAAATAGTGTAATTATTTGTAGGTTTATTTTAATACAGAATTATTATTATTTTTTGTATGTTTAATTGCTTTAAATTTTATATCAATAAAGTTCTTTTCTTCTTATATAAAATAGTATTTCATTGAAGAAAATTGCAATTTAAGAATAAATGTGTTTTTTTAAATGGTTTTTGAAAAAACGCAATTAAAAATGTGTAACATTTTAAGTGTAAAATTTTACGACAACAAAACTATTGAAAATGACTACTTTTTGTACGGCATCTTGTTCCCTATAATTATCAATGTGATTTTCAGCAACAATAATTTAGAGTGTACACAAGTAGTGATTATTTTTATATATGTATGTCCATTTTTCGGTGAAATTTAGCTAAAATAGAAGAATAACTCCAATATTTTTTTTTCTGAAATTTCTTGAATAAGATTACAAAAATAAATATAATGACATTTCTTCTCTAAGCGAGCTAAACAAAATCGAGAAATAAACTTGAAAAATTATAAAATATGTCCAATTATTTCATATTCTTATTGAAAAATGCATATTTCCTTTATGTTTTGTTTCTTTTTTAAATAAATGAAAAAAAAAAACAAAAATACGTTATGTCATAGTTGAATTTTTACAATTTTGAAAGTTCGTACGTCGACGTATTTCGGTAACATTCATATAAGTACATGATTTCTACTTTTGTGTGAAAAACGTCGAACGAGCTAGTTGTATTTTAGGTAATGCTGTTATGTTTCAAGTTTTAGGCTTGTTGTCAATTTGCGTTTCAGTTCCGAAGCGTTATTTTCTAGGAACTGAAAATATCAAAAAGCAATTACTTCCGTAGATATAATGTGTCGCTACTCGTTGGCGTTGCTCGCTGTAAGACAAAATTTCTTAAAGAAATTTTAGCAGGTTAAGCAGTAAATTTTCAGTGATTTTGCTAATTAGACGTTAGACTGTCATAAAGTTGTAAACGTGAGTATTTCGAGGTGCTGATTTGTTTGCATACTTTTAGGATTTCCATTGCGATTTAATTTAATCAGCGATGATATGTTAAACCTTTTCGCAATAACAAGTATACTTTTAGGGTGAATGGAAATCATGTGCACCCTGTAATACCTTAAGTTCAGAAAATATAAAAGTACAGTAAAAGCTCGCCAATTCATACAATTGATTGCAGACCTCAATCCGGATTACAAACTTATCCGGATATTAATTAAGTGATAATTTAAATAGTTTTTTGTTATTATTTAAAAATAAAATAATTCATTGCAAAAATATGCACTTTAATTTTCACTAAAATTTGCAACGAATCTAAAAAAACTGATTAATATAATTTAACTTCACAATCTGGATTTTAAAGTCAAACAATACGGATTAAACAAAAACAAAATGAGTTGTGAAATGCAGTCCGTGTGATCGAAGTCCGGGCTATCAAGATTTTACTGTATTTCCTTTATTTTTGTTTTAGTATATACACCTAAGTCTGTTTTTACACCGTCTTTTTGTACACGGTTTTGATATAACACGGTTTGAAAATTGAATATTTTTAATTTTTTAGACGAATTTATTCCATTTAGCACGATTTGAAATTTTATGTACTTAAATTTTTTTTGTCAAATTTAATATTTGCGAAGTATGTTCATATCACAAAAAAGTCTGAAAGAAAAAAGTCTGAAACCATAGTATCGATAGTTTGCGAACACTAGCTTAAAGATTTAAGTGAATTCCCCTTTAGTGCGTACAAACAATTTTTACTGGTCAAAGCAAATATGAATAGCACTAATTTAGGGGAATTCCCATTATGTATAACATCAAAGTCTTTTTTTAAACGGCTTCTTCTGGAACCAATCTACCGTGTAAAAACAGACTTAGGTGTATGTTACATTTGCGTTCCATGCAACACGCTTATCGAAACAAAATGTAAAAACAGAGAAACATACAACTATTTACTATATACACAATTGGTCAAAATTCTGTTGGCAATAAAAGAGAACTTGTAAGGCGTACGCAAATGTAAATTAAATGGTAACAACATTTGATGATTCGGCACATCGTATAATTTTGTCAAACATAGATCAAATTAGGAATAAGTAAATCGATTTATCGAATTTTTGTGTTGAAAAGTCTAAAAGTCGACTGGGACAAATTTCTTCGTTATTCAGAGAGTGATTCGAATTTAACAATGGCTCGTCTGTAAATGACTTAAATTGTCAATTCAATTGTAAAATAAATTCTCATAGAGTAGGTTAAGCCGGCAAAAAGTTCTAATGTAAATGGCGTTTTAACGGAGTCTTTAGGATCTTTAAATTAAAATAATATTGAAAAGTAAGAAAATTAACATCTCTATTTGGCGAATTTAGAACTCTGAAATTTGTAATGAAAGTACGAGATGTACCAACGTCGTGTGACATTAAATCAGATAGAGGTATCCTTTGCATTTCTTCCACCAACACACATTTGGCCTGTTCCCGTACTGCAAGAATCTACTCGATTTTACTATTTTCTTCGATATCATAAAGAAAAAAAGTGTTATCGGAGTAAAAAATAGGAGATTCTTGCAGTACGGGAACATACCAATTGTACAATTTGGTAATCGTTAATAAAGGGTTCATTTCGTGCTTATATGCGTATGCGAGAGAACCAGACCCTTTTTACCGGGTAAAACGTGATGGATTATCCGTCTAAAACGTTGATTAGGTTCCCAACGAATTATTTATATTCCCGCGAATCAAGAAACGCATGTGTGACAGTCGAAGATGCGTAAATATATACTTACCTATATTATATTTCCACTGCATTCACATCCATTGGAACTATAAAACTCCAACTGAAAAATCCCTTTAAGCACTTTTTATAAAAATAAATAAAAAAATTTTATATTGTATAAAATATGTTAATATTTATTATTGTACATTTTTCTTAAAAAATTAAAAATGTATTTACCTACATACATATGCATATAATTGTGTACCATTTGTTTATTTATGTTAACTGCCAATATTAAAGTTATCCTTAGTTATTTGTCTGTATTTATTTATCTATGTACAGTTTTCTGTCTGTTTTGTGTCTATCGTCCATTCGAAGTATTGGTGGCTTGAGCTGTTTTATGATAACACTTTGGTATTTTAGGGGGCGGAGTGGGAATGTCCGATGGCAGTGAACTACAAATCAAATTACATTCGGGGCAAGTCAAAAAGGAAAACAGCAATGTAATGTCGTATGAGATGGGGGCTGGAGAATTAACATTAATTCTGCTATATCCAATATTTTAAGTTGTTTTTAATTTTTATAGAAAAAAAAACTTAGTCTAATTAGTCAACAATAAATCAATTAGTGAATATTTATTTGCTAAACATTTTCTTTGTACGCGGGCAGTGCATCCGTCAGAGATTCTGAAAAAATAAAATCAGATTGAAAAGACATTTTAGCAACAATTAAAAATTAGTCCAAGGCAAGCATTGAAAGCAGCTCAATCATGGAAATGAGATAGATATTTATTTACACACACAGCTAAATGTACAGATATTATTTAAGTCTAATTGTACAAAGAATGCTTAGTACAAGCGTTTGTAATACAACAGTTACGTTCATCAAGAAAAATATTTAATTTATTTTAGACATAATTCACAATTTTATATTTAAAATTTTCCATAATTTTGCGAGAGGTGAAACTACAATTTCATTCCTTACACCACTAATCCAATGGTCTACGTAAACAGATCAAATATTTAGCCATTTAAATTCCTTTTGCTTTTGGTTTCATTGGTTTCATACCTCGTGTAAATGACTTTCAGAAGATTTGAGTTATAGTACATTTGCATTGTACTAGTTTTTGTTAACCCAGTGTATTTGAATTGTCAATTCCTGATAAATTAGGTTAACCCGATAAAAAATCTCAAATCTTAACCCGCCGTATTACTCAAATTATAATATTGTTACGAATATAACTTTAGATTTAAGTTAATTTAGATGAATTCCGTTAATTTAAGAATTTGAATTGTAACGTAAATTTCTACTACGCAGTTTATTTGAATAACTTCACAACAACAACCACTGTATAGATTTTTCTACATCCTTCCATTTCCTCTTTCATTTTCTATTTTGTTATTGTCGTACAATTCTTGTTAAACGTCATTCCTCTTTCTTTGTTATTCCCTCGCCTGTATATGTGTTGTTGTTATTCCTCTTTCTTTGTTATTCCCTCGCCTGTATATGTGTTGTTGTTATTCCTCTTTCTTTGTTATTCCCTCGCCTGTATATGTGTTGTTGTTATTGTAAGTTTGTTTACTCAAGTTTGTTGTTGTTATTGTTCACTCAGTAAGTTTGTTGTTGTTATTGTTACTCAATGTGTTTGTTGCATTGGTAGATTGTTCGTGATCTAGGTGTTACCAGATCGTCTAGAAACTTCTGTAGCGACAGGCAGGGCTCATATAAATAGAGGGAATGGAAAGGCAGTGAGTCAGTTGTGAATCAGATCGCGAATTGAAACCGTCGTGTAAAGTAAAGTTGTGTGAATAAAATCATTGTAATAATCGTAATCCGAAAGAACCTGCGTTTTATTTGGTACGAATTGTACCGGGAAATAAAACAACGTCTACACGGGATTTGGTAAAACCCAAGAACGTAACAATTGGTGTCAGAAGTGGGATTACGATAGTACTACGATGAAGTTTAAGGATCTACGAGTGGAAGACTTGAAGAAGGAGCTGAATAAATTGGAATTGTCCTCTACTGGCAACAAGGCTGAACTCCAAAAACGTCTGTTGGATGAGTTCGAGCGCCGTGGTATGAACATCGATACATATGAGTTTGACAGTAAGGATGAAGTGGATTTATCGGAAATGGGCGAGTCCAACGGTGGGGAGGTCTCGTCAGTAGCTGCCAGGGGTGACGATTTCAGAGAAATGCTGGCCAAAATGTTTGAGGAAAATTTCAGAAGGAGCGAAGAGAATTCCAGAAAGTTAGAAGAAAACACGAGACGAATGTTCGAAGAGAATTCCAGAAAGTTAGATGAACTCAAGGCAGAGAATTGTAGAATGAACGAGACACTCGGGAACATTACGGAAGTTATTGGAAGGAGAGTGGAAACCGTGGAGGTCCAAATTAAAGATTTGGATAAGAAAGTGCAGTCGGTTGACGAGAAATTTCTGGCCCACGACCACAGGTTTACGAATCTGGAGAAGAAAATTTCGGAACTGGAAATTAAAGGTGGTCCGGTGCGAGCTCCTGATAACACACTAAAAATCAAACCTCCTGTATTCGACGGCTCTACGTCATTCAATGTTTTCAAGTTACAGTTCGAGACAGTGGCTTCTAGAAATTCGTGGAACGACAGCGACAAAGCGGTTGCACTACTTCTGGCATTGAAGGGCAGTGCTGCGGATGTTATACAGAGTATTCCTGTCGCTTCTAGAAGCAACTATGAAGATGTTATTGCTGCACTGGAACGTAAGTACGGTGGCGAACATAAACAAAACATCTACCTTATGGAACTAAGGGGAAAAGTACAGAGGGCAAACGAGACGCTACAAGACTTTGCAGCTGAGGTGGAACGTTTGGTGCTAATGGCGTATCCAGGAGAGAATCACCCATTGCTGGACCGTATGAAAATCGAAACCTTTGTGAATGGCATACGTGACCCTGAGATTAAATGTGCAACATATGCGTCACCAAAAGCGTCGTTTGCCGAAACTGTGTCGTTTGCCCTTGCCCAAGAGACGGCAAGAATAATTGTTAAGCCCCAGACCCACAAGATTCGCCAACTGGAGACCGAAGGTTGCGAACCCAAATCTCTAGTTAACTCGATCAAGGACGCCATGAAGCAGGTAATAGAAGAAACAAAGTTAGTAGGGATGACTAAGCCCAGGGTTAGATGCTACAACTGCGATAAAGCAGGTCATATTGCGCGCGAATGCAGAGCTAAGCGCAAACGATCCAGGTCATCGTCACCACCTCCAACGAAAGATGGTAGAAGAATGGCTCAACAGTCCACCAATGAGTCACCGTTAAACAGAATCGTGCACAGAGAAGGCGGAAAACACGGTAATTCTGATGCCCTGTCTCGTCGGCCATGCAAGGTAGAATACAGGCACTGCTCAAAGGCTGAGTGCAAAGAGAATATCGTGGATGTCCGACGATTGCAGTTTGAGTCGGGAGAAGATTGGTCGACGGAACAACGAAGAGATCCCATTCTGGGCAAAATAATTTCGGCCATAGAAACGGGCAAGCGACCTAGTCGGAAAGAAATTACCTCCGAAAGTCCTCTTTTAAAATCATATTGGGCCCAGTGGGACAGTCTACTGATAATAGATGGTTGCTTATATCGCAAATGGGAAAGTGAGGACGGTAAATCTCACCGGAATTTGATCGTCGTCCCAGACTCCAAAATAAGAGATGTCTTGTCGGAGTTTCACGATGGTCCAAGTGGAGGACATCTTGGCATAGCAAAAACCGCTGAAAAGGTAAAGCAGAGATTCTACTGGGTCGGCTGTCAAAATCCATTGCCGACTGGATCGCCAATTGTGAAAGGTGCATAAAAGCTAAAGGTCCAACACGGAAGAGTCGAGGCTACATGCAGCAGTATAATTCAGGAGCCCCTTTTGAAAGAATCGCAATGGATGTAGCTGGACCGTTCCCCACAAGCGACTCTGGGAACCGTTATGTCTTAGTGGTCATGGATTACTTCAGTAAATGGCCGGAGGTTTATGCTATCCCAAATCAAGAAGCCAGGACAATTGTGGATGTGTTCAGCAAAAATTGGATTTGTCGCTATGGTGTTCCATCTGAGGTTCATTCCGATCAAGGTAGGAATTTTGAATCAGCGATCTTCAAGGAAATGTGTGACTCCTACGGAATTAAGAAAACCAGAACGACGCCCCTACATCCACAATCAGATGGCATGGTGGAAAGATTCAATCGCACCCTTGAAGAACATCTACGGAAAGTGGTGGACAGTGGCCAACGAGACTGGGATGAGCATATTCCAAAGTTTTTATTGGCTTATAGATCGGCCATTCATGATTCCACATCCCGGACCCCAGCCAAAGTTCTGTTCGGAAATGAGTTAAAGCTACCTGGCGATTTGATATTCGGTGCTGCCCCAAACGACGATGTGAACCAAGATGAAGACAGTCAAAACTCTTTTAGCAAAGTCCACGATGCAGTTCGCCATCGAATAAAAATGGTTAGCAACCGCATGAAGGCAAGGTACGATCGAGCGGCAAATACCGATGGGTTCCAAGAAGGGCAACTGGTACTATTGTTCAACCCACAACGGAAGAAAGGACTATGCCCCAAATTGCAAACGCACTGGGAAGGACCCTACAAGATTGTCACGAAAATAAATGACGTCGTTTATCGCATCCAGAGGAGCGACAGTCCCAGGTCGAAGATGAAAGTTGTACATTTGGAGCGGCTGACCCCCTACGGAACGGGAACTGTGCCTATTCGGGACGAACAGGCTTAAGCGGGGGGCAATGTTACGAATATAACTTTAGATTTAAGTTAATTTAGATGAATTCCGTTAATTTAAGAATTTGAATTGTAACGTAAATTTCTACTACGCAGTTTATTTGAATAACTTCACAACAACAACCACTGTATAGATTTTTCTACATCCTTCCATTTCCTCTTTCATTTTCTATTTTGTTATTGTCGTACAATTCTTGTTAAACGTCATTCCTCTTTCTTTGTTATTCCCTCGCCTGTATATGTGTTGTTGTTATTCCTCTTTCTTTGTTATTCCCTCGCCTGTATATGTGTTGTTGTTATTCCTCTTTCTTTGTTATTCCCTCGCCTGTATATGTGTTGTTGTTATTGTAAGTTTGTTTACTCAAGTTTGTTGTTGTTATTGTTCACTCAGTAAGTTTGTTGTTGTTATTGTTACTCAATGTGTTTGTTGCATTGGTAGATTGTTCGTGATCTAGGTGTTACCAGATCGTCTAGAAACTTCTGTAGCGACAGGCAGGGCTCATATAAATAGAGGGAATGGAAAGGCAGTGAGTCAGTTGTGAATCAGATCGCGAATTGAAACCGTCGTGTAAAGTAAAGTTGTGTGAATAAAATCATTGTAATAATCGTAATCCGAAAGAACCTGCGTTTTATTTGGTACGAATTGTACCGGGAAATAAAACAACGTCTACACGGGATTTGGTAAAACCCAAGAACGTAACAATATATTTTTTCAAGATGTGAAAAAATAGGAATACTATAAAGGTTCTAAAAGGTATTCAAATTGTTAACATTTGTATTCGGTCAACAAAAATAGGGAAGAGTAAAAAAGTACCAAATGGTACTAAATTTAGTATATTGGAAAGTAAGTGCTGAGATTGAGTACGTAGAGTTGAAATTATGAGGGGTAATTTTGGAGATTCATACTATACAAATACGAAAAGTACTAAATGGTTCTATAGATAGTACGCTTAGCGTATCTTAAATAATTTACTAAATGTACTAAATTTCGTACACTTGGTATTGATTGAACGAATAGAACAAGGTAAGTGTTTTTAGAAAATCGTACTATAAGTGCACGAAAAGTTCTAAATTATACCCTAAAGGATAGGCATGAGAATAACTGTTGTTAGATTGAAATCAGATAGTGGATATGTAAAATCGGACGAAAATATACACTGGTGGCCCTTATTCACTTAAGTTTGAGAAGCCCTTCAGCCGTCACTTGATGCTGGCACAATAAGTCGGCCTCATCTTCAAGAGTTCTTGAGATTTTCACATGAAATTTTGTAGGGGCGTTCTTGAATTAGGTTAGATTCGAATTAAATCAACAACATTTTTGACCCCGAGAATGGGGGAGGTCCCCTTAAAAAACAAAAGCATTGATCCCAAATTCATTATGAAATAAATAATAATAAATAAATAACAAATACATAACTCCGACTAACTAGTTACCAGTGATTGTGAAAATAATTTATCGCAGAAAATTCAAAAAATTTAATTTTTTATTTTGATTTAATTCGAACCTACACTAATTCAAGAATGTCCCTATAAATTTTCAAGTGAAAATCTCAACAATTTTTGAAGATATAACCGATTTATTGTGTTAGCATCAGATGACAGCAAGAGGGCTTCTCAAACTTTAAACGCGTTTTTCTCCAGACATCGTTTTTGCGAATGGCGGGCACGATAACTCAAAAAGTAATAACCCAAATTTTGGGACGTTTCTCTGTGAGTGTATAGATATGGTATGAACTAGGATAAAGCCAATCAGTGAATATCTTCCTTATTTTTTAACTTAGTTTGTGGTCAAAAATAGGCAATTTTTCAAAAAACAATTTTCAAAGTTCCGCCGTTTTGTTAACTGTTGTGCGAAGTTGATACGAGAGCCAGACATGTACTTTTTCTAACACCGTTGAAATTTTCGGATTCCGATGTGAGGAGTTATCATGCCCGTCATCAAAAATAAGGGCATTTCTTTGATCACAAAAAACAACAACAACATTTTTTTGTAAATTATTTTTCTTCCTTTTTAAATCTTCAAATATATATGTGCAAAGTTACAAACCTTAACATGCGTTGGTATTCATTTACCAGCTCATTTAAAATCTTAAAAATCCCTTAAACTTAAATATTAAAGACATGAGAAAAAATACAGCGAGAAAGTCCAAATATGAAAGGATTAAGCTTCAGTATTGCAAGAGTACTTGGAAGCATGGAGTTCCATATATGGGAAATTACAAAAATCTTTTAAATTCCTTGAAACTGAGGTTTGCAAGGTTATAACTCGCGAAATATGAACATATTGCATATAATTTAAATTCATTTCTATAAAATGAAGTGTTCTTGTAAAAATCTTAGAATATTGGTAATAAATTTGGAGTAGTCCATGTAAAGAAGTTTTTGGAATCGCTCATGGCCCTTTGGGCTAGGTTCTTGTTTATGAAATAAATTGAATTGAATTGAAAAAATAATAAGTTGCGTGGAAGCTGTGATGGTGGTAAAATGGGTGAAAATGTGTTGAAGCCAACGAGTTTATTTTTGTGTTCCTTCCTGATTTCTGGCTAAACTACCAAACGCACGCACTTGTCATCAGTGACTAAGTTGCAGAATACCCCATGGACAATAATGTTCTAATGTATGATTTCTCGATATAATCCCTGCATCCAACCAAAATGGATGCTGACATATTAAAGCCGGATTTTCGGTGTTTTTTGACTAAACTAAGTATAGGATTGTAGAACTCGTGATTTTGCTGCGTTCAGTGTATATCTCATGAATGTGCTCACCGTAGCTTATTTGCAATTGGGTTCCAAAGACGAACATTTGGTGCGTAAATTTTTATAAAAAAAAATTATTTTTTTGAGTCTAAAATTAAGAAAGTCCATATCTTTTTCTTGGAACCCCGCGTGATTTTAGTTTTTTTACGTGCCGGATCTAATGAGCCCATCCATATTCAATTCCGCTCAATAAAACGGCGGATATAGGTACCTTGAATGTGGGAAAAACTGCAGAAACTTATTTTGACAAATTCGCGTTTTTCTTCGAATTGATTTCACATACATTCATTCTTGTGTTATCATATTCGCGAATCTGTGTGAAAATAGGTCAAAAATATATCGATACGCGAATAATATGTGTATTTTATCCGCGGTTCTTAACCGATCCTTTTAAAATAGGTGTCCTTTTGTGTATTTTCATAGGAGATTACCGAAATCGGATGCGCATAAAAATCTTATGCACTTTGCCTCATTGTTAGCCATTTTTAGGGTTTTTGCATAGTAGAGTGCATCGAGCGGCACACTATAGCCGCTAAATTAAACACCGAAAAATTCATAATTATTGGAAGAGATTGATTCGGTTTATACGAAAACCGCATGCGCAACAACTGATTTCCACGAATACGCGAATTGCATGTTTTTCAATATTGACCATTTTTATGTATTGTAAGTGTAATATATTTAGTCATTTTTAACGTCCAAACTCTTGTTCGATGAATTCACCGATATTTAACAATCATCTAAAAAAATTTGCAGAAGAAATCGTCGTATATTTTAGAAGATTAAAGTAAAACCGTATTCCCTTAACCATACTAAAAAAATCAAAAATCAAAAAAAAATTCAAATAAACGTTTTGTCTTTATCTAAAAAAATAATTTATTTTATTTTCAGATATATTCATGCTTCTATTTGTTTTTCGCGACTATTATACCGTATTTCAATGTGATTTGACCAGTATGCAATGAAAACAAATGTGTTTAACCATTTGTGAAGAAATTCGCGATTTACAACAAATAGTAATTCATTTAATTTATATTTGAAATACAAGATTTAAAACCGCTACAACTTTTGAGCGCAGCATCCGAATTTGTGTACGCGAAAAGATTTAGAATCAGCATATTTTTATTAACCTATGTTCCAAAAATCATGAATGTGCTCGCAAAAAAAAATCAAATTTTTGTTAATGGAATTTTAAAAGAATTTTGTAATTTCCCATATATGTACGAGATTTATGAAGATTGTTTATACATTCATTTAGTTCTATAGTTCCATTTAGTTCATTGGCAAACGTTCGTTAATTCAATCAATGAATGGGAAGATCCAGATGGACGATTGGGAAATCTCGTTCCTGATGCGGTACGATATTTTTCAGTTTACTACTCAAAAAGGAACCAGGTAATTAATTTAGTTCTATAGTTCATTTTAGTTCATTGGTATACGTCAGTGAATGGGAATATCTAGATTAAAGACTGTAAAAAGAACCAGTACAAATCGTTCCTTTGAACTCTAAGCTTTCGGAACAACCCAGCTCTAATAATCAATTTAGGGTTGTCTCCGAAAATATGTTCTGTATCAATAAACTCCGCCTTTCTAAATGCAAACAAAAACGCATTTTTAAAATTTCAGGATTAAACTAAAAGGACAAAATATGAGCATATTCGCCAAATTGAAAAGCGAACTGAAAAGGATCCTAGCGCAAACAAGTTATCCATTTCAATCAACGGAAAAACATTAAGATATATTACATCCGGTAAATAAATATAATACAGTCAACATCGCTTATAACGAGGGTCAAGGGACCGAACCTGCGAAATTGGTCACTATAAGCGATAGTCGTTATAAACAATATCAAATAATGGGCATTTTGCGGGAATTTTGGATGCTGTCGTTTTAACCGATATGTTGAAGCGAATTGAAATTTTTTATTATCGAATGTAAAAATACATTAGCAAAGCAGACATGTGAAATCGGATGCACTCTATATAAACATCTTAACCCATTTGGTACACGTGGTTCTGCATTCCGCACATGTTGTGTTATACCAATAAATTTATGAAGGAAAAAATAAAAAAACGTTAGAAAATGCGGAAGCGGTTTAACAAAAATGTGTGTGTATATGTATATATGGGATTAATCATTCATTAATTCATTCATTGTGTAATAAAAATTAAATACTGATTTCGATATGTTTTCATTTGTGTGTGTATATACATATGCATGTATGCAGTGTTAGTGTTAAAGCACATTTTACTTATTTTGTTTCATAAGACACAAATGCGTCCACATACATATAAACTCGTCTATATATCAACAGATTTTTCTTGTAGTTTTATATCTCTAAACAAAAATATTTAATATATTATTCAAATAGAAATAAATGTTAGTCAAATAATTCTTATTTTATGTGTATATGATTAATAAATAGAATATTTATACTGACGTTGCTGACTAAGGCTTACATTGTCGGTTCCCGATTGAGAGCCGACCGAAGCACCAGACGAATCATTTAACTGATATGATTTGCAGTCGTTCGTTACCAGGGCTGTGTGTATGTCAATCGATTTGTTAGTACAAGCATTAGAACTAAGTGGACTTTGATTAGCATACGACCTGGATTGGTCACTACTACTACTATGACTACGGTTATCACTACTACAACTACGACTATCACATTTAGCAGAAGCGGAAGCACAAGCATTAGGGAAAATGCGTTTCAAGGCAGTAGAGAACGTTATGGTAATACCTGAATCGGCCAAACGAGCTTTGCCATTGGCGGTAGGTGGATCTTGTTGTGTTTCGGATTCCGGCCGATGTTCCAGAGATCCGTTACCGTTTTGGGTTGCTGTTTTGGAATGTCCATTCATTAGGGGTTGTATTTGTTTGGATGCTAAGGGTAAAGAGAACGCTTCATTAAAAAGTCCATAAGAAAAGATGGAACGAAATGATATTTACCTAGATTTTTCTCCACATCTTCATCATTATCACCGCCATTTGCATCTGTACCATTTGCTACGACAATAACACCATTTGTTTTCTCCAGCGTTGGTTCGTCTTTTATGAAACGTATCAAGAAGAGTATTGCCGAACCAATGATCGGTGGTATACCAGCCAATATCAGCGGTATTGTGTATGAACCCATTTTGTCGAAAATGATTCCAGCCACCGGAGGCCCAATGGTAAGTGGTAGCGAACTTAAGCCCAGCAAAAAGCCAATTGCTTGAGTTGCTCCCGATGGCCCACATATCTCGTAGGCAATGGGACCCAACAATGATATGAAACAGCCGTCGAATAGACCCATTATCAAACTGAATACGATCAGCAGAACATAGGAACTGGTGAGAGGAAGAAGGATTGTAACCACACCAATGCAACTCAACGAAAGTTGCTGCAAATATATCCTATTGACACCGGGCAGATCTGCTATCGCTCCGAATATCAGACGCCCTAAACCCGAAGTAATACCAATGGACATTACCGGAAGATTTTGATCATTATTTGGATAGGTCATTTGGACGAACTTCATCATGTGTACATAGGGTACAAAATAGCCGAACAGGGCCATAGGAATACACAGCGCCCAGATCACATACTTCTTACGCTTCCATATTTCCACATTGATTATGGAACGCATTACCATGCTAGCCTTCGAGCGACCAGGTTTCTTCTTGGGTGGCTCTGGCGGTGGATGCAGTGGTTTGTAGACAAACGAACACAGAATAACAAATGTACATATCAGGCTCATTATTCGCAGGGTTGTTTCCAGGTCGTACGTCTTAATTAAGTAATCCATGCCGGGTGGCAAAATAACGGTGAATACACTCGAACCGGCCGTCACAAAACCACTAACTTTGCCCAGATATCGTTTGAAATAGTGACCCAATATGGCCAAAGTCGGTGTATAGGCCAATGCCGCGCCCAGTCCAAACATTATGCCATAGGTAACGTACAACGCTCCGGTACTGTAGGTAAAGAAAGATGATAGCAGCAAACCACCGGAAGATAATATTCCTCCGATCAGTGTGGTTAGACGTAGACCGATTTTATCGGTAAGGCAACCGGCCACGGGTGATAGCAGAAATGTAGTTCCAATCGTCAGTGAACCAACAAGTGCTGAAAGGATGAGAAGAAGACAATCGATTTAGAATAATGCTTATAGGGTCTCAGAAATGAAATTGAAAATGGAACTTTATTATGAGTGGGTGGTGTGTGGATTTAAGACACGTATGCACAAAATAGTACGATAACGTTGATAGATAAATTCGTTTTTCTCTTTTTGTCAGTCGTTTTTGATGATGCACTCTCCATTACGTTCTCACACGATTACTCTCAATTTAGTTCTGTTCAACATTGGTTTATGATATGAATGTGGTTTTGAAAATTCGCACTTCAAATAAATGTGTCTCCAACTATTTTCATTGCTGTTGAAGCGTTCAAACCCCATCTCAATAGAAGTGGGAAAATTAATCCGATAATTGGTTTGAAAATATTATGGCAAATATTGACATTTGCGTTATTAGGCCAGAAATATATAACGTGGGTCTCGCACAAAAACCTGGTATCAATAAATTATAAATTCAATTAGAGAAATAATATTTTTTGAACTCTTGATACCTTTACGCCAGTACAGTTTAATCATTTCCGATCCAACGTAATTGCCAGTGAATATTAATTTGTCATGTTCAGGGTATTTTTTACATGGCCGCATATCAATTTGAATAAGTATTTCATGAATGGACACCTCAAAGACGAGATTACAGAAATAAAATCAATGAAGCCAAACGCATGCCACAAACTTTGTTGGTAATGCGTCGCATTTACTTTGCCATTTCCATAAGACAGAAAATTATATCAAGAAACAAACGCACACTTACATATACACATATGCGCATGTATTTGTGCAGAACGTAGACGAATAGATTTAAATTTATTAGCCATCTTTGACCACATCAACTTAACAGTTCAACATTCAAAAGAAATGCAGACGTCAATCATTGGCAGTAATCCCCCATCAGACCCATATATCGCCTGGCTCAGTTTGAAATGCAAAACAATGACAGCAGCTGTTTTGCCTTTGTTGTCGTTGTTGTTTTTTCAAAAGCTCTAGCCGGCTGACGTTTTGGCGGTAACAAAAAGATGATAAAGACAACAAATGTAATCTTCATTAAATACACAACGCATTTACAGCTCTTATGACACCTACATCTATGTTCGTCCATGCACCCGTTCGTTCATTCGTTCGTTCGTCCGTCGGGACAGCTGTCCAACTGCATTGCTCTACAACTTTTCACTGAACCTTCACGTGCGTCGGTCGGTTAACACAAATCCTAAAGACAACAACAGCGACGCAAGACAAGTTTACTTGTGCCACATATTCGCTCTATTTAGCCCAAGATTAGGCGTCAAATGTGATCGGAGATCAAATAGAGGCAACAATGCTTCTTTGCAAAAATCATTGCAATTGAATTATTATTCTTCTAATCTAATTGTTTTTCTTTGGCAAATAGGCATTCACACTCACCCAGTCACATATTTCATAGCGGATTTTATGAAAAGATTTATGCGCCAGTCAAGAGGTTTTTAGAGCATCCAAAGGAAAATTACAATGAGCAGCAGAGACAGATTAAGGGGGTGGCAATCAAAATAGGGCCTTATGAGAAGTCGTTGAACCATATCTTCGTCAATGACCAAGGGATCATTTCGGATTGTAGTATTTATGGAACTATACGTGGAACGACATACTGCAACAGAACAGAAAGGAAACACCAAAACCCCTAATGTTGACGACCACCGCAAATATATAAGGGGACCACGATCTTCGAAACTGCACCTGGAACAGGAGTGCTCATATTACTCCCATTGGCATGAATGAATATTTTCATAATTCCAATCAAACATTTTTTTCATCTTGTCCATGTACCTCACTTGGGATACGAGTAAAATTTCTTATAATCGTGAGAAAGCCAATTTTTTTCAAAATTTTGTAAAAGTTGCATTAATATCAAAACTAGTTTCTTTCTTAGTCTTACTATTTGCGCTCATTTGTTATTCTCTTTTTTGCTATTTTCTGTATTTCTCCCAAATAAGCAAAAAAACGACCATTCACTGTTCGGTTATATTTTGTTTAGAAAGAAACTTTCTGTGCCATAGACAACCAACCACCATCTAAACACACTCCAAAGTGTTTTTTTTTCTCTCTCTCATTCTTCCTCTCTTTGACAAGAAACCAATAGAGTTTTATGAATTGCATTCATAAAATGCCCAAATCCGGATATTGGCAACACTTTCTGAACACTATTCATATAATATATGAATTATTTCTTTCTTTGTATTGGCCACATAATCTCCCGCCTATACTAAACAAAGCCAGATCTAAATTGAGAGAGTATAAGTGAGGTTTAGTTTCACGAAAATGTTTAGGGATGTTCTCAACAAGTACAAAGCTGAATGGTTACAGGAAATGTGAGGGAAAGGGACAGGCGTAAACAAATCACATGAAACGAGACATGAATTTGGTTGTGCAGGAGAATGAAATACCTCGTCTACAGATTCGCTCCAGTGAATGAGGGAATTAATATAATCCGTATAAAAGCTGTAATCTGACCGTAGGGAAAAATGAACAAACCAAAGACATATTCTACAAGTGCCCAGAAACAGCATATGACCCCTACCCTGGCCAGAAATTAAAATTAGGATAGGAAATTTCAATGCAAAAATCGGAAGGCAAAAAAAATCAGTCGGTAAATTCAGTGGTCATGAAAAAACATCCGACAACGCCATAAGGTTAATTGTCTCTCGTAATGCTGCAGAGATGAAAAACGCAGTGTATGGGACAACCCTCCAGACAGTAACGAAACGCAATTCGAGGGAGAATTAGAAAGAAAAGAACAAGAAAAACGTAAGCGTGAGTGTGAGCAAATCGACTTGTACAGAAGTCAGAATAATAGTCCAGAAAATGTATCAATGAGTAAAATACTCAACCGAAGGCTTTGGTGCAGGCACATCCTTCTGTAGGGATGATGAAGGAAACCTGGTGACAGATATAGTTAGCGTGTTGAGGGTCTGGAAGAAGCATTTTGCAATGCTTCTGGTAACAAATAGTGGCGGTGAAGAACATACCCCAGAGTCGTTAAGAGATTACGGTACAAAGAGAATACCATCTAGAAAAGGTCAGAATAGCAGATAAAAATTCTATGTCAATTTACGCATGTCCATCACGATAAAGATCGCAATATTTAAGATAGAGCTCTGAAATTTTGCACAGACATTGCTAGTATTCCTAGGATGTGTGGTGTTGTAAATATGATATATCGGACCACGATTTGGTGTAGCACCCAAATTTAGGGATTTCGGACAATTTTCAACCTTGTTGGTTTTGTAGTGCGTTCTCATTCTATAAAACATATACATGCCAAAAATTATAAAAATTATTAATATGCACCTAAATATTTATACAATTTAACATATTGGCATTAGGAAATAAAATACTTTTCCAAATCTACAATTATGTAATTTAAACGTTCCGCGCCTTTTTATGTAGGCTGCCTTATTAAGGCCCCATTTTTAAGGAGTACATTTAGCACAGGTAATTTTATGATAACAAACAAACTAACTTTTGAACTAGTTTTTCTTCAGTTGTCAACTGGCATTACTCCACTTTAATTGTTTACAATTTAATTAAATATATATATGGGTGTGGGTGTGTGTTCGTTACAATTTGATAACATACTGATCATGATGAGCATCACATCATTGTCAGACAATAAAATTCAAATATTTTATTAACACAAATCGCACAGACTGATGATGAGATGCCATGCGATGAGATTGTAACAGTCAGAACCATAAAAATTAAAAAAATATATATTTTTATTTTTTATTTGCAAATGCATAAAAAACTGGCATATAAGACATACGCAAATATACATATGTATGTATGTTATATACATATACGAGTAGATTTACAAATTAATTATTGTTATTGTAATCTACATACATACATATGCATACATACATATGTACGTGTAAATATCAAAACCAATACGATTCTAATCGAATCCATTGATAATTCAATATGTCTATTGATTCCATTCACTTGTTTCTTCTTCTTCTCAACGATTGAGAAAAAAGTAAAACAAAAAATAATTTACATTGTCGGATGTGGGCGAATAGGCAGGCAGCAGAAAACATAGTATCTTCTGGCCCTGAGCATTGATATCGGTTTACAATTTCATTAAATAAACGCATGCTTGATTCAGTTCTCCACAAATTTATCACATCGCATGAAAAATCACTGTCCAAAATTGCGTTTTATTGTTGCAAATAGTTTTATGCTGTCAGTTGCTAAGTCATTTAGGAGAACATGAAAAGTAATAACGTTATTTAATGGAAATCGTATTTAATATATGATTAGGATTGAAAAATATTTTGGAGACATTTTACAACATTTATTCCTAATCAGTGCTCATATACATATGCGAGGAAAATAAGAATAAATACATATATATTTTTTTATTCGAACAATAGTTATTAAACAATTTATAAGAACACAATTAGTTTGGAGAAGATATTTAAATTGAAATGTTTGTTCCGTCCTGCACAATATTTATTGGTCATACTAATTTCTTTTTTATAGACTATCGATTGACGTAAATAACATTTCAATTGATACCCCAGATGTCATAACTAAATAGAATACGATAGGTGATATTATACGAGTACAACATTGTTGACAATCTTACATTTTGCAAACTGAAAATGAAATAAAGGGCTGCAGGTATACCCTATTAAGTTACTACCCCAATAGTGATAAGGGGGTTTCTCCATTTAAAACTCATCGAAGAATCACGTATTATCCTATAATATATTTAATTTTGTATGTTAATTTTGTAATACAGCTGAAGCCGAGGTTCACCACTTTATATCTTGGGAACTATTATTGTATATAAGAAAAAATGAATATTTTTTGATTTACTGATCTGTCGTTATAAACTTCTCATTTCATACATGGAAACAAAAATTATTGCCGACAAATTTAGGTTAGAAGTTTCAGTGCCATGAAGGGTTGGTTCGCAAAATTACAGTTCAAATGTAATGAGTTTGAACTCCGAATC